AGGAAAGGAAACTGGTGCTGGAAAGTCCTTGACTGGTCCTTTAATTTGATGTTGACCAAAGTGTGGGAACCCTGTTTGTGTTTCCAGTCCTGCACTCCGGAGATGTGGACGCAGAAATCGAGCRTCTGGACAGCGGTTCTGATGTTCCGACCCCGGCCTTGCCCGGTGCAGGTGGGGAGGCGGAGCAGGCCGTGCCGCCCGCCCCCCGGCCCCTGAGCCCCACCAGGCTGCAGCCCRTGGTGGCCCCCGAGGCCCGGAGCCAGGAGCTCCCCGACTCGGAGGAGCTGCTCCGCATCAGGGCGGAAATCCCCCGCCCCCTGAAGAGGCGGGGCTCCGTGGAYCCCACGCAGCCTCAGAACAAGGCCTCGCACTACCAGCGGAACCAGTACAAGTACGCCATCAGCAACTTCTTCCGCAGGGACCGCAGCAAGGGGGAGCAGAGGAGCGAGAGCGGCAGCTCCTCGGACGGAGAGGACAGCGTCCCGCTTCCTCCTCCTCCTCCTCCGCCGCAGACGTCCAGAGTTATCCCGCCAGAAGTCAAAGTGAGAACCGTACAGATCCAAACGTGTTAGTTTCACCSCGGCGTTCTAACCGAACCGGGTCTCTCCTTCAGAACTATCCCACCATTCTGCGCAAGTCCAGGGATCGCAAGAATGCCGGGAGGAGAGCTCGGCTCAACCCGCTGGTCCTGCTGCTGGACGGGGCGCTGGTGGGCGAACTGGACACGGTGAAGAAAGCCGTGCAGGAGGTGAACTCACTTTTTATTTGCTTCAAACTTTTAAAKTAGAAATGCTCAATGTTGACTTTTTGCCGATTTTCAATATGTCGACGTTGTTCAACACTTAATTTCTGATTCAGATATTAACTGATATTACAAACTGATATTAAGGTGACATCACAYATCTCCTGTCAGGGACATGCCAGCTTTTTGATACCACACTGGAAGCATTCCATTGGTAAACATTGTCTGTGCAAAAATAAAAATCATTTAACTGAAGTTAGCAGTGGTGAGCAGCGCTAATCCAAAAATTAGCTCCGCAATTTCAAAAGCGCTTATGCCATAGAAAAACTAGCAGAAGCTAATATTAAAGCGTAAGTTCAATTAGACACGTATTAGCTGGCAATAATTCACATACAATATCTGCACAACACTGCCAACTAGTGGTGTACGAACTCTTGTGCAGCGTAATCCTACAAGCACCGATTGCTAAGGGATGTGTTTTCCTAAAACAGACCTTTAGCTCTGGGT